CAACCGCCTTCGCTGCCCTTGAGGTCGATCGGGATTGTCTCGGGGAAGTCGTTGCTGAAGTCACCCACGTCCTCCTGTGCTAGAGCTTGTCGTGCGATAACTACGGATGTCAGCTTCCGAAAGCGGGGATTCGGATGGCTCTAGGTCTGGCTTACCTTCAAAAGCTTGCTCGACGTTGATGGCCTCCTTAGCACTGGTCTCGAAGTACGGGATACCACCCTTCGATTGACAAAATGTCATGGCGCGCTTGGACGAGATCTGGCGCTGTTAGCATGAAGCCTTGAACGGTCGCTACAGAGACTCACCATCCTTTTGCTCTCCTCCACATCGATCTTGTTGCCAATAACAACCTGTCCGCGTCAGTACAGATGTACATCCAATCTACCCGTATGCACCTACAAATGGGAAGCTCTCAGGATCCATCGGGCTGGCCTGAACCAAGAATTCGTCCCTCCAGCTATCCAAGGTATCGAAACTCTTCGAGTTGTTCACGTCGTATACGAGGACGCAGCAGTCGGCACCGCGGTAAAAGGCAACACCGAGCGATTGGAAGCGCTCTTGGCCGGCAGTGTCCCAGAGCTATCGTAGGTCAGTAAGATCCAAGCGCGCAGAATCACATGTACACACCTGCATGGTAACCAGCCTGTCGTCGACCAGCACTTCCTTGGTCAGGAAATCGGCACCGATCGTGGCTTTGTAGCTTGCGCTGAACTTCTTGTTGACCTATAGAGACCGTATAAGCCAGTATTCATAGCCTCTAGCTATCACTCGTGTCGTGTATAGCTCTACGAGGGGTTCTCCGTACATATTGGTTCATCAAGCTCGTCTTGCCGACCCCGCTGTCTCCGAGGATAATGACCTGCGCGCATTAGTCTTGAAGGTCAAGCCCTATCGGGAGCTGGTATACCTTGAGGAGGACCTTCTTCCTTGATGCCATCTTGTAGAGAGTGTGTGTGGGTAGGAAGACGAGGTACGGCGCGGTCGATTCGAGGCGCGAAGCTAGATGCTTCGAGGTGGTGCGGAGCTGGCTGCGCGGATACTAGGCCGAGGTAGAGGGTATGCGACGCCAATATCTAGGTCTCCAGGACGTTGGTCGAGTAGGGAAATCGATGCACTGCGTTTATGGCGCAGATACGGTGAGGATAGGTGCAGCTTCGTTACCAGAGATCGATGATGGTTGATGTCAAGCTGGGCACGGACATGGCGCTAACCGCCCGTCCCATGCACATCTGAGGTGGTCAACCCACGCGCCCACCTGACACCGCATTCACATAGACCGTCTACCCCCACCGCTGATCACGACTGCCCCTGAAGGAGAGCTTTATCTATATCTCAAGTTAACAAAGTTGCTGGTGTCATCGCCAATCTCCAACCTAGCGCGACCGTGAACCTAACCGATACACCCAGGGCTACCAATAGATCGCCTAAGCGGTAAAGTTTAAGGCTGCCAGTACGGTCCTGCTTACATGTCGCTCGTAGAACTAGCTTTCCAATATCAAGATTCATGATCTAGTTGCAATCCTTGGACACCACATCTGCACTCACCATTTGTACATACAAACCTTGCTTTAGATAATTTAGATAGCACCACATAGGATATCATCTTGTGTTCCTACTCTAGTGCTGAGCAAGATTATACTCAAAACCTCCAGGAATCGTAAAACGGCCCACCGCCTCAAAAAAAAAAACACCGTATCAAAAAATCGAGGTGTAAGAGAACCTAGATGTCTTGCTCCTCAAGCATAGCCCAAACACTTTGCTTTGCCAGACTACGCATGTTAGGTCTTTGATAGCAAACTTACACAGTCAAACTATCAGTAAGCACTGATTTTCAATCGTTGGTTTCTGATCGAGTGAACTGGAAGAGACGCGATTCGGTCAGTGAATGCAAACACGTCTTGGCAGAGCGTCGATTTCACTATAACTGTAGTTTCGATATTGCGTTCTTTCCTCGCCCCAGCCAATACCACTGATCCTTTCCGCATCAATCTAGAGTGTCACAGCTCCAGAGATCAATCCTTTGCCATGACGAACGCGGATCCCCTTCACTCGCATTTCATGGCGCTCACTAATATTGGAGGCACTTTGTCCGAGCAGGAGCGTATACAGCTGATCAGTAGGTCGCTAATCGCCCCAAACGCTCTTTGTTTATGAGAGAAAACTGACATGAGTATCTAGATACGCTGGTGTTTCTGGTCCGTACCGAGTATCCTTCCGTCGCCAGTGTTCGCGACGTCAACCTGGTCACTATCCAAATATCATCCGACAGATATCGCATCGACGTAACATCCCGCAAAGGTACGATCATCTTCGGGTGGGACGTAAGAACACGCCTTGAGGTGCTCGAGGGTCTCCGTGATGCCATAGAGAAGCGAGCAGCGCAAGTGATCTTGGATACGAGCGGGCCACGGAACGGACGTGTGCTGGCAAAAGACCAGCCAAAGTCCCACAGACAAGACCCCAAGGCGTCATCGGATAATCTGAAGCATGAGACTGACAACTTTCTTGCAAAGAAGGCCGATGGCGATTTTGCAAGTCTAGACGCCATGCTCGTGAAGGACGACAACAATCATCAGACCCGGATACCTATTCACGCCGGTCCAAAGAGAAAGGCGCAAGATCAGAACGAGTGCACAAGGAAGAAATCCAGAGGAAATGACTGCGCCATGAATTACGAAATACTTGGCGAAACAGAAGAGCAAAGGATGTCAGACCATAAAGGACATGAGGAAACGATGGACAGCCACATCGAAGGCGAACCAGGGGACATGGAAGAAGAAGATCCGCCTCCATCTGTCAGTGCTGTGCTTGCGAAATATGCAGCCGGCGAGCCAAAGCGTCGAAAGTGGAGGGGTCGTACGGCCGACACGCCAATGAGGCACGATAAAGATGGCATTGCTGAAGGAAACGTGTCCGACGACGAGCAGGTTATCATTGGAGAGGACAATGACTTCTGGCGCGAACGGTAGATACCGCGTGGTTAGCATGCTGAGGGCCACGCGAGTGAAGGATGTTTGGCAGTGGTGTTGGGTAGTACCTGCCCAGGTAGCGGGAGTGCGAAGTCCGGCGCTAGCACCCTAGCAGTCGCGATCATTCTGCGCGCATGTCCTTCGCTTCCTCACTCGTGTCAATGAAATCCTATGCACAGCGTTGACAATTTATCCCATTCTACACGAAATCGTGCTGATGATCGAGCTTGATGGGTCTTGATGGTTTACTCATCCTACGCCGTACACGATGGTTTCTTCGCAGCTTCCCCGTGCGGGGATCCGTATGGTAGCCACGGTCTTGGTTCACGACCAGCCGCAACGCAATTGTATATGACAGCGCATCGGGTTTGAAACTCATTTCTGTCTTTTTACCTCTCATTTCTCTTACCACGCACACAGTGTTACTTGGAAGATGTCGCAAACTACTACTACCGGAACCGAGGCGATGCGCCTGCCAGCAACGATGAGAGCATGGCAATGGTCAACATGCGGTACCACGCTCGAGGAGGCACTACAGCTCAATGAGTCAGTACCGTTGCCGACAGCGAAGCGGCCACTCGCAAGTGGAGAATCTCTGATTCAAGTTCACGCTGCTGCTCTGAACCAGGTCGACTACAAGCTTGCAGAACTACCCATCGTTGGGCGAATGGCCATCCCTAAACCAGCAACCCCCGGACTTGATTTTGCTGGAAGAGTCGCTGAAGCGGGACCGGATTGCGACCTCACGGTCGGGCAAATGGTTTTTGGCAAGCTCGAGCCGAAGCAACAGTTTGGCACGCTGGGCGAATATATCATCGGTTCAAAAGCTGGAACGGTGCCTATACCTGATGGTGTCTCAGCGGAGCAAGCAGCAACGCTGGGAGTCTGTGGTCTTGTTACATATCAGTGCCTCGCACCGAATGTAAAAGCCGGTGACAGAGTACTAATCAACGGTGGTTCAGGTGGTACAGGCACTTTTGCCATTCAGATCGCAAAAGCCCTGGGATGCTATGTCACAACGACCTGCTCCGGTAAGCGTCCCACAGTCGAGAAAGTAACGCATTTTCTGATCCCTCACAGGCGCAAATGCTCAGCTTTGCAAGGATCTTGGGGCCGACGAAGTCATCGACTATCGCCAGAACGATGTACCTACCATTCTGGCAAGCAGCTCAAACCACTATGACATGGTTCTCGACAACATTGGACATCAGTTTGAGCTATACTGGAAGTCACCCTCCTTCACAAAATCTGTTGCGAAGTACGTCCAGATCGGATCTCAAGTGAGCCTACCCTTTATCTACGATCTCGCATTCCGCTTCCTGGTACCGACGTGGCTTGGAGGTGGAAAACGGCCATTCTCTTTCGGTCTTGCTTCTACGAACTTCGATGACTTCACGAAGTTGGGAAAGCTTGTTGCGGACGGGAAAGTGAAGCCTGTCGTGAGTGAGGTGTATGCTTTCGAGCATGTACCCGACGCCTATGAGAAGCTCAGAACAGGTAGAGCGAAGGGAAAGCTAGTAGTCAAAGTGGGAGCGAAGTGAACGATTGGCTGAAGTGAAAGCCAAGCGTGCCACCCTCCAAACCTGAAGCGAAGGCAGACTGTCGTTCGATGGCCGCAGTTGTGTTCGCGCCTGGAACCGAATTGCTTGCTGCGTGCAATCCGTTCAGCCTCAGTTCGCAGAACCTCCCAATGGGGGATTAGTGCGCGAAAACGACAATCTGGATAAGAAAAGGACCGTTGTTGCCATTCGCTCAGTTGGGGTGGACGCGCTCGTGGCGGCGCTAAGGCTGTTTCAGGCAACGAGGAGGCTGTGTTGAACGCCGATCTGCCCTCAGCTGTGTATACCAATACGAGCATACAATCTACCAGGTTCCATATGGATCGATTCCAATATTTCGAAATTGACTTGTAGCAGTTAAGAGAGAATGCAGGCAGCCCATTACTAACAAGAAGCATGCTGACCATCGCGCATATCACAGAGATACTGTGACGCGCCTACATTACCCGAATACTTCTACCTTGGAAGCGATATGAGCGCCTCATATTCAAAGCAGGCAGGCAAAAGAAGACAGGAAGCCAGTCCGGAAGACAATGCTGAAGAAAGGAAACGACTTAAACCAACCATCGACCTGACATCACCATTGTGTACGGGATGTCAAATGCTGGACATCGACAACGTGTTCGAAGCGGCCCTCAAGTACTACAAACGCAGAGTGGACGATCCAGACAAGAAGTCGAAGCTCTACGAAGCTTCCGATGGAAGGCACTTCTACGCTGATGCAGTTTCGGTGCATCGGTTTGGTACGAGGCTGTCCAAGCCATCAGATTGTCCCTTGTGCGACTTCCTTCGATCTGTCAGAGTCGAGCCAGATGTACATGAACGCTACAAACTACTTGCGTTCCGTAGCAGCGATGCTTGGCTCTTCAATGCAGATCGGGTGAGAAACGCGTTTAAAGAACCCGACTTCCTCGAGGAACGCCACGAAACAGTGTTCATGGCAGTCGTGCCAGATATAGAGTCGATCCCAACAACCGGGCACGATGCCACATGGCTAGACTACGAGATTCCGGCTGTGGGGGCCATCTTTTACAAGTCGGCTGCTGAGCCTAGCGACTTTCTCAACCAGAACCTGCTGGGAGCAAGAGAGCTCAAGGGTTCATTCGATCTTGAGCGGTTACGGGGTTGGCTCGATTACTGCCGCAGTGGACACGGTACCGCCTGCAGACAACGTGCATCGGAAGAACCGGTAACCAGAGGCTTTCGTCTGATCAACTGTACCAAGGATCCTCCCGAGGTTGAAGACAAGCCGTGGGGAACTCCGTACGCTGCTTTAAGCTATGTTTGGGGATCCACGCCCGCCGATCTGGAAGACTGGCCGACGACTGTCATGGACGCAGTCGAGGTCACACGCAAGCTCGACTTTACCTATCTGTGGGTGGATCGGAGCTGTATAAACCAGGCGGATCCAGAAGAGAAAAGCTACCTAATTTCGAGGATGACCACAATATATGAAGCTGCTGAGTTCACCATCGTAGCAGCTGCAGGAAGTGGTGCTAGCCATGGTCTTCCTGGGGTACGAAACACACCTCGCAAGCCACAGCCAAAGTACTACGCCAATAGCGGAAGTCTGCTTCTTTCTATGCTCCCTGATCCGCGGCGAGAAATACTCCAATCGCAATATTGGACCCGCGGGTGGACATACCAAGAAGGGGTCCTCTCTAATCGCCGTATCGTCTTCACGGAACACCAGTTCTACTGGGAATGTCGATGTATGGCTTCGAATGAAAGCGCGGATGTGTCGCTGTTCCACCAACCCATAAGCCATGAGAACGATCCCAATACCATTCTGGTAGACTTCATGTTAAGCGGCATATTCAAAGGCGGCGCATTCAGCGGAGGCAGTAGCGCGCACCAGGGAGACTTGGTCATTGCTAATGACGAGGAGTATCGGCTGGACTATGGCTTTCCTGTCGTTGAGGAGATAACCGTTGGAGCGCAATTGCGAGGGCTGTGCGAACATATGCGTGAGTTTACGAAACGACGCTTGACACAAGCTACAGATACCCTGCCAGCCTGTAAGTAGTCTGCCTCGGAGAACTGCCGGTGTTACCAATACTAAATTCTGCGCCATCTCTAGTCCAGGGTATAGTTGGAATGTACGAACAAACCACGTCGCTACATTTGTTTCACGGAATACCTTTGTGGACGGGCGACGTTGCTGGAAGCGCTGCCCCCGCTCAGATTACCTTCGCCTTGGCTATATCGTCATGGTTTCACCGCGCAGGCTCGCATCAGGCGATGTTTATCTCCGAAGAATGTAGGCGACGTAACCATTTACCTTCGTGGACCTGGTAAGAGAGCCGTTGCGCGAGCTGCGTGTAAGACATAGACTGACTTTGTGCCTTTAACTTTAGGGCTGGCTGGGGCGGTACAGTGAGTTGGCGGCTACCTCCCAACACTGAATATTGCGCTTATCTAAGTGATCTGATCAACGCCACGAGCCCAAGTCTCGTATGGGGTGCGAACATCTATCTCTCTCATCCTGGACGTCCAGAGGTAGTACGGCTACTAGACCGAAGCTCAGCGCTTCGCCTGACACACGGGACATTTTCCACACTGGAGATAAAGAATCCGTTTCTCTTGAACAAGTTCCAACCGGTCAAGGAAGTAAATCGAGAATGGTCGTGGGGCAGACTGGTTGGCAGGATTGGTCGCGAACGGTATATGTCTCACCGTGTTGACAAAGCCACAGACTGGTGGAGGATAGGTGGTCGCCTCGCTTTCACCAGCATGTCAATCGACATAACCCAACAAGAGTGGACTGCCAAACACGGCTCTGGCGAGTTCATAAGTGTTTTGATCTTCGTGGGGAGATTCCTCGATGTCGAGCACGGGTAAGTGTATTTGTACAGCTGTATATGAGACATACACTAACCTTGTACACTGTAATGTAGCGCGGCACGATTTCTGACGTTGCGAAAGGTACCTCATTCCAATCCTGTTGTGTGGGAGCGAGTCGGCATGCTTTCTTTGGTGCTTGGCTACATAGGCAAGACCCGGAACATTTCGGGTCTTTTTCACCTGACGCCAGCTCATGCTCGGAGTGGTTCTATAGTGATCCAATGAATTAGCGACTGTCGCGACTAGATGTCAAAAACGATTGTGCAACCTTAGGAGTTGCTGTGAATACCCTGGGGCGTGTGCGTTCAAGAAATACGGCTAGCGATGGTAAGATCGATGCTGCAATTCCAAAGGAGTGTACGCTTAGTGCTCTGTAGAAACTAAAGGTGCATACGGTTTGTTGAGGATATACTTCCAGGGTGGTGATGGGTTAGACAAAGTTCGTGATGTACGTCATGTAGCCGCACCCCACATATACCTTGGCAACAGCATCCATGAGCCGACGTCTTCACACGCCCATCCCGTACTTTACCCTGAACGGCAGAGACGAAAATTGAAAGAAGAGTCGCGATCCTCAAGCTTTTCAGTGACATATACACAAACATGCAGAAGGTTTCGGTCTGGGCTGACGAGCTCGGTCAAAAGCGGATAACCTAAATAGGAAATCCCATCCAGACATGTCGCATCACCAAACATGGAGGAATTCACATTCCCATCTTGTCGCGCACGTCCGAGCCCTGGCATGCCAATTATTCTAGGCCGGCAGCTTCAAAAGTACCGGTTCGGTAGAGAAGCCCGACCATGCGAGTGATCCCCGACAGGGGCCGGGGTGAGAGGTGTCAGGGCGAGCAGGTAATGTACCCGCTCAAGTGCATGTTATGTGTCACTGGCGTATGGTACCGAAGTGCCGATGCTGTTGGTTAGGATCCGAGGTGTGCTGGTACCATGGTGCATGTATCAGGGATGTGGGGAGTGTGTTCTAGAATACTGGCTAGTGTGGAACGTGGTTGCAGGATTTTCATGTGTTGGCTTTGTGGTACGAGTCGTAAGGGGCGAGTATCGTGAGATCCAATTTAGGAAGGCGCTTCCGATGTGAGAGTACTATGAAGCGGTGTGAATTGGTCTGACTGATGGGTGGGTTCGGTGATGCTCTGTAAAGAAGTGTACGCCATGCACAGATCTTGCGCAGCCTCAGCGGCTTATGTATACCGCTTTGTTCGTGTGCCCAGAGTTGAAGCTAGTCAATGATTTGTGAGTTACTCCAAGAAAGCATGGGCCAAAGATATGTCAGAGCGTAGAAGTTGATTCTGCTTGTACTATGTATTACTTGCTATTATGCTAGTCACGAATTGTGATCTATGAGTTGAACTTTTCTTTGTGCCAAGGAAAAACGCCTGCTGGATGTCCATTCGATGCAAGAGCGGCTCAACCTGAGCTCAATCCAAATAAACCAGCAATGAGTCGAACGCCGTAAAAAATTCCAATAAGAGTGGCGAGCATGTAAACGCGACGCCGGGTATATCCTACAGTCCACTAGTGATAGTTCCAAGCGAAAATAGACCAATGGCACAGTAAGGAGATTCGTGAAGCGTCGATGATCTCATCGTAAAATGGGGTATAAGCGAAGAAAGGAAATAGGAAGCTCGCAGCTATTGCTCCAGGCTGAAGCTTCCGGAGCGGGAGCTGCTGTTGGAAAAAGGAAATTCGCAGTCGTCGACGTAAGTCGGGGGGCTGATAGGAACGTCTTCGTAGAGAGGAGGTTGCTCCTCATCCCAAGCAATACCCATACCAGAGCGCTCAGTGAGCACGAGGTGGAACTGAGTGCGGAGAACGCGAGCGGCGCCAGTGGGAGTGGCTTGGTTGAGCTTCTTGAGGGGTGCCCACTCTTCAGCGACAACCATCTCAATGATGAGGTTGTGCTTGACGCTCATGCCGCTTGGGCTCTCCATGTCGCAAAGAGGCTTCAGGCCGACGTTGCAGGCGGCCTGAAACTCTACGTCAATCTCGCCCTTCTCAAAGTCGGTCTTCCAGCCAGTCTTGACCTCCTCGCTGGCGATGGCGCGGACATCCTCGTGAAGGACACCCTTGCCCTCACCCCCGACCTTGGAAATGTGCTTGGCACAGGCTGGAGCAATGAACTTCTGCGTCTCTTCAATGCGCCAGTTGAGCTTGCGGAGCCTCCATCGTGTTTGTGAGTCTCCTTTGTTCTGCACAATACCAGATAGGCGCATCTCAATGGGGAAGTCACCAATCGGGTGGATGACCGGGGGTAGCTTCACTGAAGCGGTAAGGTTCGTGGGAGGGAAGATGCGAATAGAGTGCTTCTCGGCCCCGGGAAAGATGGCGCGCTTGATGTCCAGATTGCGCTTGTAGGTAATCTTACCCGATGAGGTAGTAGCAACAGCGGAAAGGTAGTAATCGACTGTGGCGAGGCTACCATGTGTAGTTGCAGGCAGGTGTCCCGGCAGCAAGTGGCTGAAAGGGAATGTGTGTGGGCCATGACGCAGCGAAGTAGGATGCGTCAGGAACTCCCACTTGTGGATTTCGGTGGTTTGCGTGCTGCAATCGGGGCAGTGTGGGGCGACAGGCTTCTTAGTGGAAACGATGGCGAGCATGCGCATCTCGAATTTTTCCACGGTGACGTAGGGGTCATGAACGTTGATGACGAGCTGACCCGAGAAAATAGCGCCGGTCGAAGACTGGGGGCTGTTGTAGAAGACAATGGGCGGCGACTCGACGCTCATGTTCATGGAAGCCGCGCCCTGAGCCTCTACCTTGGGGCTCTTCTTGACTTCCTCTTTTTCTTTCGCATGCTTGTCATGCTTGTGGCGGTTGAAGATGTCCATGACGAGCGACTCTTCCGACTTTGACTTTGCTTTTACGCGGGGTGCGTCGTAGGAGTAGACGGGCGGAAGCAGGCCTTCGGCGTGTGGTTTGACGTGGTCCAGTTTAGGCAATGGCGTGGGAGCCACCCTCGCGAGGGTGCTCAACAGGCGACCGGGCATGTCTGATAAAGAATCCGGGGTAGGGCTGAGATTGAGTGACGTGAGTGGATGTTGGCAGCTGTGAATCTGCGAGATAAGGAGCTGTCCAATGGAGTGAGGGAGTGGGCCGAGATCCGATATGCAGGTGCAGCAACTGTTGAATGCGGCGGCGTTCAAGAGTTAACCTTGTGGGAGTGGAGGTGGTTATAGAGAGTCTGTGGCAGGAACATGTTCTAGCTGTCAAAGTAGCCAAAGGGGTAGCACGGGGTAGGGCGTGGTCTTATTTAAAGGCGTTTAGCATTTTGAGGGAAGTTTTACATGAGAGAAACTCGATTTCGCATGATTTCATCGGTTATACCAGATGCAGGGATTGCGCACGCCACGCTAACGGGTTCTGGCAAGCACACCCCTGCGCCTTCCATGGAATTTTTGGGTCAGGAGGAAGGAACGCACGGCCTGCCGCTCTCGCGATCGCCCAGTAGCTGTCGTGCCTGCCAACTAAAAAGACGTCAACACCTGGGCAACCTTCTCAGCTGAGCTGGTACGAGAGCGTCGTGACTGTCGCGCCCTATACCGGTGTATGCAGCGCATTCCCCATCACCATGCATTACCAAGCGCTCGCTGCTGACCGCCGATTCATCACCAGGCCGAACACATTCCGAATTCCAGCTCGTGCTTTGGCCGCCGCCAACAAGCACCGTGGTGGCTTGACTATGCGGCCAACATGTGTGACTCGCCGACGGCCATTCACTTCAGCACACATTGTACCAGAGGGTCTCCACCCGGAAACCCTGGGGTGCTCGTCCATCGCAACGGCACACTGTCCGCCCGCTAGCCATCATTCGCTGACGCACATCTGATGCCCTGTTCCCCGCAACATGGCGTTGTGATCGCCTGCAAAGTGCGACTCTGGGGACGAATATTCGAGCATCTCCTCGGACTGCCCATAGACCGGCGCGACTCCCCGCACTCCTCAAGGGCGCGCATCGTCACGTCAGGAGGTGCACCTGACACGTATTTGATGACCGCTCATGCGCCCTACTTGACTACCTTGCGCATTGCTAATTGTGCAACGTCTTCGTCAATTCACAGTCATATTCGTGCTCATCGTGATGGCGACAGATGCCAAGCCGCGCCGGCGTTAGGTAATGCAACGAGTTTTTCCTACACCCACCGTGGAGCGAGAAGAAACGCTGAC